ATATGTTATAGTATATAATATATATATATAGTGTAAAGACATTCTTTTGAATATTCATTTTTATCTATAATCAAATAAGAACATCTAGATGGAAATTAATTTTTTCCATTGTTGTACTAGCAAATTCTGGTTTGCCTAAGATGAAATATAATAGATATATGTGACTTACTATTTTCAGAAAATCTAGAAAAGTCCATAGCTATTTTTCTTTTAATCTACAACTAATTCAGTTTGGAGAATGTCTTAAAATCTTCTCTCCAATGCAGATTCTCATTTGAAAATAAAGTGATACATGGATGTTTCAAGTGTACAGAGAACTTCCAGAAATTCAAGATGGATTCAGAAGAGGACATGGAACAAGGGATATCACTGCTGATGCCAGATGAATCTTGGCTCAAACCAAAGAATAACCAGAAAGATGTTTCCTTGTGTTTTATTGACTGTGCCAAAGTATTCGATTGTGTGGATCATAACAAATTATGGATAACATTGAGAAGAATGGGAATTCCATAACATTTAATTGTGCTCAAGAGGAACCTGTACACAGAACAGGAAGCTGTCTTCTGAACAGAACAATGGGACATTGCATGGTTTAAAATCAAGCAGGGAGTACATCAGGGTTGCATCTTTTCACCATACTTATTCAATCTATATGCTGAATAAATAATCCAAGAAGCTGGACTATATGAAGAAGAACGTGGCATCAGGATTGGAGGGAGACTCATTAACAACCTGCAAAATGCTGATGATACAATTTTGCTTGCTGAAAGTGAGGATGACTTGAAATACTTACTGATGAAGACTGAAGACTATAGTCTGCAGTATGGATTACACCTCAATATAAAGAAAACAAAAATCTTCATAACTGGACCAATAAACAGCATCATGATAAATGGAGAAAAAATTGAAGTTGTCAAGAATTTCATATTACTTGGTTCTACAATCAATACCACTCATAGCAGCAGTCAAGATATCAGACGTCATATAGCACTGTGCCAATTTGCTGCAAAGGACCTCTTTCAAGTGCTGAAAAGCAAAGATAACTCCTTGAAGACTAAAGTGCACTTAACATAAGCCATGATATTTTCAATTGCCTCATATCTATGTGAGAGCCAGACAACAAAAAAGGAAGACCAAAGAAGAGTTGATCCTTTTGAGTTGCGGTTTTGGTGAAGAATACTGGAAGTATCATGGACTGCTAAAAGAAGTAACAGATCTGTCCTGGAAGTGCAGCCAGAATGCTCCTTGGAAGCGAGAATGGCCAGAATTCATGTCACCTACTTTGGTCATGTTGTCTGGAGGAACCATTCCCTGGAGAAGGATATCATGCTTGGCAAAGTGGAGGGATAAAGAAAAAGGGGAAGGCCCTCAATGAGATGGAGAGACACAGTAGCTGGCATGATGGAGTCAGGTATAGCAAGGATTGTGGGGCTGGCACAGGACCAGGCAGTGTTTCATTCTGCTGTACATGAGGTCGTTATGAGTCGGAGACAACTCAGTGGCACCTAACAACAACATGGATGTTTCATGGTAGCAAAGTTTACCCTCATATAAAAAAAGCACAATTAGAAACTTTTATATAAATAAAAAACGGAAAAGTTTCAATGTTTAGTTCAAATGTGAATTCAACTTCACATGAAAGCTGTGTGTCTAACAGAATTTATAAAGTAGACTTTCCATAATAAGTAACTTTGGATAGTCACATATGGACATAATCTGCTTCAGACTTTTAAGATGTTCAAGCTAAACTGAAGAAAGGCATCTTACTCCTGATATAATAAACTAAACTTGGAAGTAATTATTAGAGCACCTGAACGTTTCCTGGTCTTTGCCAATTTTCAGTTTTTCCTTAGTGTTTAGTAAATATTTTGGCTACTCTTTGTACCAGGTTCCAGGAGGTAAACTCTAAACCTGTGCAATAAATTATCAGGCTAGTCTTTTCTTTACAACAAAGACCTCTGATGGTGCAGTGGTTAAAGTGTTCTGCTGCTAATCAAAAGGTCAGCAATTTCAACCCACCAGCCAGTCTGCAGGAGAAAGATGAGGCAGTTTGCTTCTGGAAAGATTTACAACCTTGGAAATGCTGTGGGGCAGTTCTACTCTGTCCTATAGGGTCATTATAAGTTGGAGTTGACACGATGGCAGTGTGTGTGTTAGTTTTCTTTTGAATTGGGCTAATTTGGTAATCTCTAACCACTTGGAATTTAAGTGATTGGAGTATCTTTGTTATTCTTGGTGAGTCCCTCAGACCACACCAGACAGCTTATAAACAGGGTGACACAAGGTGGGCCTCTTAACAGTGGGCTCTTAACAGTTAATCCTAATGAGATGACTTAGGATGGGTGCTGGTCAGGCTACAAAGACCAATCATGCGATTACAGTATTGGAGCTTCAAATCACATGATATCAGCCCAATCTGGAAAAAGAGGTAGGTTGCAGACTGACTTCAATCACAAGGACAATGATTCAATCAAACACACCTGCTTAATAAAATCTTAACAAAAACTCTGAACACTGAGGCTAGGGTAAATTTCCCTGGTTGAGAATATCTACACTGTCATACATAGATCTGCTGGCAGGATGACTTTTCCACAAGGACAATGGAAGCTTTGCATTCAGGACCTTCCCAGAACTTTCCCTATGCATCTCTCCCTTTGGCTGGTCCTGATTTTGTATCCTTTTGTTAAAATAAAACTGTATAAATATAGCACTTCCCTGAGTTCTTTGAGTTGTTCAAGCAAATGATGAAATCTGAAGGGGTAATGGAAATTTCTGAGTTTCTAGTCAAGTGGTCAGAGTGAGGGTGGACTGGGCATGCCTGAGCTCATGCTGGTGTCTGAATTGAGAGAAACTATATAAAAGACTGTGCCCTTAACCTGTGAAATTTGGCCTAACTCTGGGTAACTGATTGAGAAGCCATTGTACCTTGGCAAACCATACTCTCTTCAATTCCCCTACAAACATATCAAAGCATTTAGAGGATAAAGTAATTTCTACATTTAACTGAAAAAAAGAATGCTATTTGAGAAGAATAACACTACAAAACTACTTAAGACCAAACAACCATACTTTATACAGCTCTGAATGTATTTCTAAAAGTTTTATTTCTTAGTAATAGAAAAGGAAGAATGAAAACATTTTAATTGCCACCGTCTATACTGAAATCACATACTTACTTTTTTTTTAATTAGGCTTGGTAACTGCTCATTAGTATTAGCTGCAGGGAATAATGATTCATCAATGTGTACTCCAGCAGTCCTGCATCTGTGTAATTAAAGTATTTGTTTCTGTTATATTCACAGCATCAATAAATATGCAGGTACAACAGTACTTTAAAATATTACATGCATAGGACATTTTAATAGAAATTTCTATTAAAATAAGTACAAGAATTACCAAATGCAAACTTTTCAAAATCTTCTATATGTGAATAGAAGTGAGAGGCACAGAAAGTAGTAAAAGTTTTATTTTACAATTTTAGACTTGTAACATATTACAAAATCACCAGTTCACAACACTCATAAAGGTACATGTTATTCAAGGCATAATTTAAAAGTAAACATGTCATTTACCATTTAGGGCTAGAATAGTCTTCAAGAAATTGAGGTCAAAAGTACAGCCAATCCTTGGCTTACCAACGTTGATTCATTCCTAAGTGTGTCTATAAGCTCAATTTGTAGATAAGTCTGAACAGGTGCATACAGTTCTTATTAAGCCTTATTTTTGTGCAAGAAAGGTGCCCTAGTAGTGAGGTGGCTAAGGCATTCTGATGTTAACCAAAAGGTCAGTGATTCGACCCCATCAGCTGCTCCGTGGGAAAGATGAAGCAGTCAGCTTCTGTAAAGATTTACAGCTGTGAAAACCCTATAGCAGTTGCTATGAGTCAGAAATAACTCAATGGCAGTAGATTTGGTTTTGGTCAGTTTTAGTTCAAGAAAAGGCTTGAAGCCTTTTCAATGATTTAAAAGCTGCACATGAAGCCAGTTCTGAAGGTGGTTGTGATGAAGAATTTGTTGCAAGTAGAGGCTGGCTGGATCATTTCAAAATGAGGGTAAATTTACATAACATTAAAGTATGAGTTGGCCATAGTCTGATACTCATAACCCAGGGACTTAATGTATAATCTTTCCTCCCAAACTGGGTTTTCCTTTCTATCTATTTCTGTCAAAGCACTGCCATCATCTCATAAAGCTAGATTTGAAATCCCAGCTACTGTTAGCATGCCTCCTCCTTTAATCATCAGTTTGTCATCACAGCTTGTCTTTTCTCTTTTATAATACCATTCATGTTTTTCCTGTCTTTGGTCTTCCTCCACCATTATCTTGTTCTAAGCATTCATTAATTCAAATCTAAATAATTATAATGATTTTGTGAATTCCTTTCCTACAGTTTCTCCTCTTTTAATTCATCCATATACTATTGTAATACTCATCTAAAAACATTTTACTCATCTCTCCCAGCCTAACGAGCTTCAGTGGCACAGTGGTTAAGGCATTTGGCTGCTAACTAAAAGATCAGTGGTTTAAACCCACCAGCCACTCTGGAGAAGAATGATGGGGTAGTCTGCTTCTGCAAAGATTTATAGCCAATTGGGGTCGTTATGAGTTAGAATAGACTGAATGACATGTTTTTCTTTCTCTTTTTTTAATTTTCAATAACTCTCCTATCTACAGAATAATCTCATCCATCTGTTGTTTAAGTCTTTCCATAATATAGTGGCAAACAAGGTAGAGCAGGAGCAAAAAGGAGAATACAGTTGATGTTAAACCCACTGCCACTGAGTCAATTCCAACTCATAGCGACCCTACAGGACAGAGCATAAATGTCCCATAGAATTTCCAAGGCTGTAAATCTTTCTGAAAGGAGATTGCCTCATACTTCTGCAGGGCAGCTGGTGGGTTTGAATTGCCGACTTTTTGGTTAGCAGCCATCAGAGCTCCTTAAAATTGACAGTAAAGAAGTAAGGAAAAGATTTAGGTTGAAAGTAATCACTATATTAGAATTCTGATGAGGGAGCAGATTTGATAGGATGGAGATTTTACAGCTGGAAGAAGAGCATAGGCAAAAGCACAGAGAAATGAAGAGCATGACATTATGGGAAAATCATAATGTTTCCTATGTCTGAACTGAATGAATGAGAGTTAAAAGATCAGTGACAAAAAATACTTTTGGTAATGAAGAGATGTTCTATGTCCTGAAGGTTTTACTTACTAAGCTAATGAGTCTGGACCTTACTCTTTAAGTTCCAGGAGGTTAGGAAAAGTTAGATGGAGGAGAAAGTCATGGACAGTCACTCTAAAGGATGGGTTCAAGGAAGATGACACTGAAAGCAAGGAGACAAACAGGGGCTACTGCTATAACTGAGGTAGTTGATGCTGAAGATTTAAAAAACAAGATGGGGTCTAGGGTGGGGGGATCATTCCTAAGCAATATTTAGGAGATAAAAATAGGATGTTCTTGAGATCTGATTAATTCTGATTTCTCTCCTCCCTCCAAAACTTACAATAAAATAACAGCAAGGGGAGGGGGAAGAAAAGATATATGCCCACAGAGATGAAGATTATAAGAATAGTTATGCCCACAAAAATCTAGGCTCTACAGGAAACCTAAGCCTGATAGTTAGGGAGGGAGGCTCAACAAGAAGCCAACAGACTCTCTTGACATTTCAAAAAGCCTCAGGTGCATGAGATGTGTGTGAAAGAGCGTGGAGGAGCTTGAAAATGGGAGACTGGTAGAAAATCTGAAAATCAGCAGTTATATCCTGTAAAGTCAGGGGTTGCTCTCTTTAGTGAATCCTACCTTCTACTGACACCAGTTTGTCCCAAACCAGCCCAGGGAGGCTAGCCCAAAAAATCTCAATTTCCCTTCCCTTGTCAGCCTAGTCACACCAGCTGCTCCATGCATACTTTTCTCTCATCTCCAGCCACCCAGGGCTGGGTCAGAGCACACAAGTTAAAAGAACAGTCCTTCAGTATGCCAAACAGATGTCAACCCCTGTGGGTTCAGTAATTCGTTGAAACAAGTCACAAACTTCAGGAAACGGTCTATCTTTAACCTAACAGGAAAAATGATACAAACTAAGATACACATAGGGCAAGATCTGATTGGGGTCCCAGGGCAGAGTTTCCATGCCTTCAAGCAATATTCTTCACCTCCTGAGAGCAGAATGTTGGTATTCTCCAATCTGGAAGCTCCATTGAACCCCATCTTTCAAAGCCCTTACCAGCCTCATCATGTTGCCAGGATCAATTACATCATGCCTGAAAAGGCTTAGTCAATATGGGCCCCTAGATGATCCTCTTCTCAGCAATCCGGGACAAAAGGCCAAATTGCTTTCTGTACCTCACACACTTACATTGACTTTACAAATTAAGACTTCTTCACCCTACTTGGCCCTTCCACCCAAACTCAACTATACTATTGTGGAAAAATGATTCATTTTTCAGACAACCTGAACCAGAGAATCTCTGGGCTTAAGCTATAGAAATCAAGTTTGACATAAAAGTAAATACTCTGATTTCCAGCAAAAACAATTTTCACAGTCATAGCAATGTAAACACATTGGATTTAACACTATGGATTTAACCAAAATTTAACATGTAATTGGAATAAAATGAGATGAAGAGAATTGTATGCATGTGTATGCAAATAGTAGATGTGTTTACTATGGGAATGGGGTAATCTGGAAGGAAGAGCAAGTTCAAATAGCTAAATTCCCCTTTTATACTAAAAAGTCACTAGATAGTGTTTAAAACTGAAAAATCAAGACAGCAAAAAGAACCATAGTATTTAGAACTACAGAGGTAAGTAGTAAATACCTATAGAAACAACTAAAAAGTTCAAAGGAATTTCCTTGGGAAATGGGAATTAGAGGTAAAAGCGTTCAAGAAAGTGACTACTGTTTTTTCATTATAAACTGTGTAACAACCTTTGATTATTCTCTTTACTTTGTGTAGTTGGTCCTCCAAAAAGGTATGTTCGAGTTATAATCCCTGGAACCTGTGAAATGTGATCTTATTAGGAAATAGTGTCTTTGAAGATGCAATATCAAGTTAACATGAGGCCATACTGGATCAGAATAGGTCCTTAATTCAAAGAGATTGGTATCTTTATAAGAGAGGAGAGGAAGATTTTGACACAGAGACTCAGAAGGAAGAAGGCCATATGAAAATGAAGGCAAAAATTGGAGTGATGCAGCCACAAAGAATTCTGACAGCTACAAAAGCCTGGAAGAGGCAAGGAAAATTTCTCCTCTAGAACCTTCAGAGAAAGTATAGCTCTGAAAACACATTGATTTTAGACTTCTGGTAGAAGAATAAATTTCTGTTGTTTTAAGCCACTAAGTTCATGTTAATTTGTTATGGCACCCCTAGGAAATTACTATACTTTTATGCAAATAATATGCACACTATGTGTTGTTTTTTTTTACCTTCACTGCAAACCCCTATTTTTTTAAATGCTCTATGCCTCACATTACATCTGCAATAATAATAATAAAATAAAGCAGTAACATATTATGTATATGTGTTTTAAGTTAAAGTAACAAAGGATATCTCTTCATAATAGATTAGAGTAAGGAACAGAAAGCAGTGCATCCTGACTCAAGGTTTCCGGCTTGAACAATAGGGAAGAAAATGGCACCATAAACCAAAACAGAAAATGGAAAGGTTTAGAAGTTCTTAAGTTTGGACTCATCCAACTGAACAAAATCTATTAAAGATAAAGACAGAGATATGTATGTATAAAATCCATACTGCTCACCAGAGCCAAGAAAGCTCTGCATGAGGTGGTCTTGACCTGTGTCTCCAATTCTTTGTCTTGCTCACTGTATTCCAACTATGATATTCTTTAAGGTCTTCAACACACTAAACATTTTTCTGTCTCAGCCCTCTACAATTCTTTCAATGACTTTTTTTTTTTTGCTTAACTTAAATGTCACCTATTCACATACCTACATATAACCCTCAGTTATAAAAGGATGTCTTTCCAACCACTCATTGCCTCAAATGTGACTCTAGCTCAGCGTCTCCCCTTTTTTTTCAGAGCACACATTGTAACTTGCAAATACTTAATTCATTTATTTGTTTGCTCTATTAAAAAGAACATGAGGGTAGAGAATATGCCTCACAGTTGTGTCTAGTTACCAATGAAACACCAATGCCCGACAGTAAAATACTAAAAAAGAAATTGTGAATCACTAAATGTCATCACTGCAAAAAGGAAAAAATTAAAACTTTTGATCACCATGCACAAAAATACTGTTC